TAGCAATAAAATCACACTGTACCTACAACATGAGCTTCACTAAAGAAGTGAGAAAATAATATAACATATTCTATTAAGTGAGAACAATGTGTTTCTGTGTCACAGCATTAAGGTTAATAAAATTAAACTTAAGCTAAAAAATAATATATAATAAATGTCATTTATTGTCATTAATTCTAATTAAATATACTTACTTTGAGCTACTATGTTTAGACATTTGGCCTAATCTGTATCTATGCACTAAATGTCTTCATGGTGTAAATCATAAAAGTCCCCAAATATGTGTTCTCGCTGTGAGAGTCATATGTTTAAATATATAATAAGGTCAATATATTTCACAAATCAAACACAAACATATTTCAACATATTGATCCAACATTAATTAAGTAATAAAACCACTTCCCCTACATTACTGATGCCAAATGGTGGTTCTTTTCCATACCTGCAGTAATTAATTCCTTCCCCAGTTACGAAGATACTTGAGTAACTTTCAATGCGGGTATGAAGCATATGTCACAGCTTTCATTGCATTTCCTACTTTGATCTGAACGTTAATAGTAGTGACTAGCAGTTATCTTGTCTAAGTTGATTGAATAGTTTTATTCTTAGGGGTGACTTTTTGCCAACAAGAATCTTACAGAAAATTATAATATGGAAAAACAGTTGTTATATCTTATTATTAGGTGCTTGTGGCTAGAAATAGCACTCCATAAAACTCTCTGCTACTCTTATTTCTTTGTTACACTGAGTGGTCCTATTGTACAAATTTCATGTGTTAAAGTCCTAACCCCTAAAGTAATGATATTTGGGGGTAAGCTGCTTAGAAGAGGACTAAAGTTAAATTATTTCATGATATGGGAACCACAGAGAAGGGTCCCTACTCTCATAAGAAGGGAGAGAGTCACAAAAACATTCACAAGCTCTTTATCTCTTTCTCTCCTTCCTTTTCTTCTGCCCCTAAAGGACAGGACTTATGAGGGTATGAGAAAATAGCTGTTCATGAACTAGGCAGAAAGGCCCCACCAGATGTTGAATCTGTCAGCAATTTGATCTTATACATCCAGTAACCAGAACTATAATGTCTGTTAATACACTGTTTATATAAATATATTTTTATAGCAACCTAAGCAGACTAAGACATTTCCCCAACACATACAGATCACAGGGTAAAATTTACTAAGTTCATCTGAATTCTTCATGTATTTTTCAAAGAGCTATGCTTGTTTTTATTTTCTGTTATATGTAAATTTATATGTATATATATAAATCGTAAAGTTATACACTTTACATATATAAAGTAATATGTAATTGATATTAAAAGTAAAGCACTACCAAATTATATAAAACTGAAATTGAATATTCTCAGGTTACCTAAAAATTATTAATCTAGATTTTCTATGCACATATTTTTATATGTTACCACACTTTATGTAATTCTAAATTCTGATTTTTCTCCTCCATTAATTCTTTTTTTTTTAAATGTACAACTCCTGGGCCCTCCCTGGTGGCACAATGGGTAAGGGTGCAGCACTGCAAGATACCCCTGCCAGAGAGGAGATCCACATGGTGCAGCAGACCTCTCCTGACCTGCCCACTGCTCCCCTCTGCAGTATACTTCATCGATCTGCCTGTCCTGCTCCCCACTCTGTCTCTGGTGAATCTCCTCACAGCCCCTGTACCTCTGGCCTGTACCCCAGTTCTGTATGTATAAATAAATAAATATTTTAAAAAATATATATTCAACTCCTCCAATACAAATTATATGTAAACTATAGTTTAATCAAATATTTTATACTCTAATTTTTAATATTTACTCTTTAATATTAAAATATGCAACATTTATTTGTCTGTTTAGAGTCAATAAAATACATCAGTAAGTATGCATACAAATTTCAAGGAAAGTAACTGGTTTTGTAGAAATTATTCTTAAGAATACAATTCACTTTTTCTTTAAAGTACTTGAAACTGACTATAAAAATACTCATGTTATCAAAGCAGCTAATAATGTGGACAAATTTCCCAAACCACATCAACATATAATCTAAAATCAAAATTAATGTTTTCAGTCTGTTAGTGTATTTCTGCTTTGTAAAATCTACCAACCTAATGAGAAAAAAAGTTGAATCAAGGTAATCAATCTGATATGAAAGCAAAAAATAAAATGATAATGTTTCAAAAGTACATTTAGTGCTAGAAAAAGCACCAAAGGGGGAAAACAAACAAACAAAAAAAATAGTAGCTATTTTTTCTACAGTTTTGCTTGTTAAGATTTAATAGGCGTGAGTATATGCTGTGAAATAAAATCTGCCCTTACCTAACTCATGTTAAGGCTCCAATCCCTAATGTAATACTTGGGAGATGACTGGGGTTAGATGGGGACATGAAAGCATTGTCCTTGTGTCAGACTAGTTCCTTATAAGATGGCACATGAATGTCTTTTTAGGCCTTTCCTTACTGTGCACTGAGCAAAGGACTTGCAAACACCCACCTAGAAGTTACTATCTTCAAGGTGGAAAGAGTGCTTTTATCAGAACTCAATCATGCTGGCACCCTGATCTTGGAATGGGGGTGTGCTAAATGTAGCATACTAGTCTCTATCAGGCACCTTGCAAGTTAACAAGAGCAGGACACTTGATCACACTTGGCAATGTGTATAAGTCACAAAGTATGCTGGGAATACCATGTGCCTTTGACTGATATACTTTGCACCCCAGAGACTCACAGTGGAACCCTTGTTAGTAAGATTGGAACTACATGTGGAAGTCAAGAGTATGATTTACCATATTAGTGGACTCACACTCCCTGAAGCACTAAATAATATAATCATTTTCAGTTTGACCCACTCTTTTCCCTATCAATAAAAAGGCCAGTATCTTGCTCTTTGAGCAGCATTCTGCATTGCACAGCCTGCTCCATGACTCTCACTTCTTTCATTAGTGCAGTGTTGCCTATGCTACATTGGTCTTCTAGTCTTCAGGGTCGCCAAAAATAAATCTGCTGCTGAAACCACCCAATTTATGGTATTTTGCTGTGAAAGCCATTGCAGGCTAAAACAAAATGCAAATATCTGTTTATATAATAGTGAAAGGAGAGGTCCACCCATTGTGCAAAACCTTTGTTTTTGACATTGGTAAATATGATTTAATTATAATACTCCAAATTGTAGTTTCTCATAAAGGTAACTGTGCCTGGGGCATCTAGAGAGAAGAGGGCAGGGATGCTGTTAAATATCCTCTAAGGTACATGACAGCCACTTACAACAAAGAATAATCTGGCCCAATACATCAATATTGCTGTTGCTGTGAACCCTACTCTAAAGTTAAAGGACTTTTATTAAAAACATACAAAATAAAACAAACAAACAAAAAAACTCTTTTGCTCCAACCCCCAATTCCATCTCAGTAACTTTTCAAATCACCTGGAACTATTAAAGTGAGAGAGAGCTTAAGTAAACAAATAATCATGACAAATGCAACTGTATTAACAATTGTTAGATAAAGCCCCTATGTGTGTATAATTACACCCATGTTTGTTTTGTGATATATACATAGGTAAAAATGTTAATGATAAACATAGTCAAAACTTCTACTTATCTCGATAAGTAGAAGATAAGTAGAAAACTAAGATGGTGCTAATGAATTCCAAATCATGACAGCCAATATCTATCTAAAACTTTTTCCAAGTTTATATCTAAAAGAAGCTTTCTGTGACAAAATAAATGATACTCGGCTATGTTAAAAATGATTATTCCATATTTTAAATAAATACCTGAATGAAATTTTACTCAACTTAAAGATGGTATTGTGTGACATAAAACAAAGATTGACTAATAGTATATACCTATAGAATTGCATTAAATATAGAAATGGTTTTCTTACAAAAATAGATACAACTTATAAATCATATGCTTAAATATTTATAAAAGGTTACTCTGCATAATTTAAGGACATGTTCATGTTGTATATAACATCATTACTATCTTGAGTACTGTTTACTAGCTGCCCAAAACTACAGTAATATGCTCATGAGGACAATAATCAACATTAACCCAATAATGGAAAACAGTTTAAGTAAAGGCCAAGTTTCAGTAAAAGCACTGTAGTAGTCAAGAGTCAGTAAAATATGCTCTAAATTTGTCTGATAAAGCATAGATATATTAAGATTCCTTACAAGTTTTATTTCTGTAAAGTCTAATCTGACATCATAAAGACTTAAAAGATTAACTAGAATTTGATTGTTGATCTTTATAATGAGTCAGGGTTAAGCATGTCTTTATTTTACTTGTGTTTGTAAGAACTCTTGATAAACAGTTTCTTTCCCATATCTTCCTATTTCATTCTTGTTTCAATGAACTATTATTTTGTAGTTATATTTAAAGAAAATGTGTTTTAATGTGAAATATGTATATATATATAAATGAATTGAAAACACTTAAAAAATATTGACTGTAAATTTTATTACCTACTAAATGTGTTCTATGTTAGAAATTATGATGTATTGTGTTTTCTAGGATGTCATGCTGAAAAAACTGAAAACAACTATATACATTTCACAATTTTATATAATTTTGTATTATTTTGGATTTTACAATAACCATTTAACTATTTTACATGTTAATTGTTTCCAAATGAGAAGATGCAAATGGGATGTGTAAATTGGACAAAGGGAAGAAATTATGTGGTAAAGAATAGACTTGGACTTACAGTGGTGAACTTAATGCAGTAGATATTTTTATATACATGTTGATTGTCAATGTTGCATACTTAAAACTTATTTAAGTTAAAATGAAACATTGCTTTAATAAAATAAAATAGGTATCCACTTTTAAAAAAGTCACAATGTGTTAATGTATTTTGAAAAAATACATTATGAAACAAAAATATATTTTTGTGTACAAGATAATTGAGTACTTGCCTTTACAATGTATGATTGTAGGGTTTAAAATTAATAACTTTGTAACTTTGTAAGGAAAGTGTGGGACAGCTACTGTAATCACTTACCAGCTCTTCCTGAAGCTGGGAGATGAGTTCATCCCTCTCTTTCAGCTGCAGCTTCAGCACTGAGCATTCATCTTTCATTATATCCTATAATAACATCAAAGAGACAGTATAATAGGCTTAGCCCTTTCACTTTGCTCTTGATAAGGAAAGTTAGCATCAGATAGTAAGAAATAATTGCATATGACTAATGAAACTTAAGTTTCCTCTACAGTATAATTTTTCCATAATAAATTCTAAGTTGCAAAATAAACTTAATGTATCCACAAACATTATCAATGTTATCAATGACATATATACACATCTGCACACGATCCAGTTTAGCTCAGCCCAGGGTCAGCTATACCACTGTTTTCCTCTGCCCACCTTTGTCAACCCATACCTTAAAAACTCATTCCTAACTTCCTTGTGGGAGTGAAGGTGAAATGTTGTTCTCTGGCCCTATCTCCTTTATGCTCAAGTATAAGTCTTTACTATACTTTGCTGGTGTAGTAGACACTCTCTAGTGTAGTCTTTCTCCTAGAGTTTTTCCAGACCCATATTTGTTAGTGTTTATAACAGTCCTGTTTCTCCCTTAAAGCTCTGGTTTCGTGAATAATTTATACTCATCATTTTTAACATTTAATGTCATTTTTAATATACAGAATCCATAGATTCTATATATGATATGTTTTGTATCAGCATCAAAATGTCTTAGCTTCAAAATACAAAATCACAGGCTTAAGATGTAAGAAGTAGGCAACCCCCTGGTGGCACAGCGGGTTAAAGCACAGCACCAAGAAGCTAAAGCCACTTCAGCATGAGTTCGATCCCCGCCATACCCTGGAGGTGATCCACGTGGCTAGGCCTCTCCTGACCTGCCTGCTGCTCTCCTCAGCAGTGTACTTTGTAGATCTGCCTGTTCTGCTCCCCGCTCTGTCTCTGGTGAATCCTCCCACTGCCCCTGCACCTCTGGCTTATACCCCAGTTCTGTATGAATGAATAAATAAATCTTAAAAAAAAAAAAAAGAAGTAATCACGTTTTAAAATCAGGGTGATCTAAAATCAAATATTTAAACTAAACAACTTAGTGACTTAAAGGTAGTTACCTAACTTTGTTGTCACCATGGACATTCCTATGTAGGTTAATGATAAAAATGACACTATGTTACATAATTACTGAGGGAGAACAGAAATACAACCCCACAATGTGCTGCTTCTATATTTTGATGGTTTTAATCTGAAGGTAATAAGAATCTAGAAGACTCAGAAAATATTTTATGCTTTGATTTGTTTGATTTTGACTCTCCCTTAATTGCCTAAAATAATATATAGAAAGGTTCTATGCCAGGAAGAGAGCTATCATCATCAGAGAGAGGGAACGTAGGGTCAGGAAGGTTATATATAACCAACTTTGCAACTACTTCACTAATTTACTACCCCATCTCTAAATTCTTTGTGTTGTCAATTTATCACATTTTTTTTTTCTGAACATTTTAATAGCTGCCTGCTTTGCTCACTTATTTGAGTCATATCTTTAGGGTTCCCATTTGTCTGAAATGTTTTGGGTCCTATCAACAGTCCATTTGAATTTAACTTTTAGATAAGCCAAAGAACATAGAAGGGAAAAAGGAAAAGCTTTCCTTTTCTACATAACAGAATTCTATTGTATTAGTACTGTTGGGACATAAAGGGAAATTCCTGTATCCCTCTGTGATCTTTTATGTCTAGCATAGTAATCAAAACATCATATGGGGGCAGAAGAAGAAAGGTGACATTAGTAATATTCACACAGAGAATTTAAATTACACAGATTACACTTTCAGTCCAGAGGACAGGGTGAAAACCGTGAACAAAGGGATGAGTTAGCAACCTGGGTCACCAAAGGGAGAAAGAGAGAACTTCACATGACTAGGCGTTGACTTGATATTTGCTCTGAAACAAATGTGTTTCTCAGGTTAAGGGACAGTTCTATAGACAAACCTATGCCTGGATGAAGGTCCCAAATAAATTCTAGTTGTTAGAAGAACAGCCCACCCCTTGATATTTTAATATATTCCACTCCCATCTTCATACCAACCTCCAGCCCATCTCTCATGTGATGAGAACTATATCTCCCAGGGTGTCATGAACTCAAGTTTCTGTGTGGGACTGCTGGTGCCATGAACTCGAGTTCTGTGTGGGACTGCTGGGAGCTAGGGCAGAGTTACACTCTTGCTTGGCTTATAGCACACAAATACACTGAATTGCACCCTGGTACTGCTTGCTGGCAGGAACTATGTGTAGAGACAGTGGGAGAAAATAGTGGGGAAATAACTATATAGGTGGAAGACATGGGGGAGAGTGTTCCAGTCCTTGGAAGCTGTTAACTTAATCTCAAATTGGATTATGTGGTAATTTTGACTCTCTCCTTTTTCTCCAACTCTCTGGGACCTGTCTAACCCTTTCTTATGGTATCTTAGGTGTGTGGCAAGCTTGGCTGGGCTTTGCCCATGAGGCAGTAAGTAATTCAGAGAGCCTTATTGGGAAATTATATGAAATTATTTTTTTTTATTCTCTATGCCCAAAAATTCTATTCAGAATATCTTTTATACTAATAGTATGCTTCATTTGCCTTTTACATGTAGATGATCAGGCATGTCTTGAGTATGTGGCCTAATAGATTATGGTCTCTGGGTTTCAATCAGCCATGCACTAACATAGTAAAGAGTAGAGATCACTTTTTCAATTAGGGAAAAGACAAGAGTTTCTTCTCCTTAGCCCCCCAGGGACTCACTTGATCTTATCTCAAAATAAACTGCATACCAGCTCTAAGGTGGCCAGCTATGAGAATATTGCAGGTATGGGGACCTATATCTCCAAAGTCTTTTCTAATAGCTCACATAATAAAAGTTAACTCAATAGGATAAACTACTGTCACTGTTTGAGTTCTTCAGGAAACATGTGCCTGTCAGAAAACTTCCTTCTTGAGGCAAAGTGGGTAGGCTCTCATACCTTTCTTTACTCAGGCGTTGTTTTAGCAACTACAAAAGTTAGATCTCAGCTGCTGTTTATTACCTTAATGTAATCAAACTCAACTGGAAAGTGAAGATGCTAACAGGTACAAGAGTCAGCTAGTAAGATGACATACAGCTGGGCAGAGTCCTCTATTGAAAGAGATCTGTACTTCAGGCTACTTTACTATAGGTTTTCTTTCTTTTTTTTTTTAAATATCAACTTTTTAAATATTTAATTTATATGCTTAACTAATATTTTGATATTTTTTAAATTTCAACTATATTGAGGCAAAAAGAAATTACACAGAAACTTGTTTTTCTAAAAAGCTATGCTTTCTATAATTCCCTGATTTTATCTTTTACAAATTTTTCATGAAGTCCATCTCACATCTGAAGGAAGAAAGAAATAATCTACACATACTAAAATGCATTGTTGAGCCAATATTTTGTTATGTTGGCACCTAGCATCGATATATTTACAAAATGTCAGTAACATTCATTTGCTTATAGTTTATTCATTCAACAATTATTATGCTGCAATTACTGTGCACCAGGTATTGCTCATTTTTTCTAAGTATTTTTATAAGGTTAAAATTTATTAATATAATTTTTTTTCTTAATTATTCAACTAGGATATGATATCATTTTATCCGTGAGCTTCTTCACTTACATATTTCCTGATTGTTGTTATTTTTAATGGTATTGTTTTTATTGAAGTAATGTTGGTTTACAACTCTGTATATGACTCAGGGTTATAAGTTCACATTCTTTAATGAATGTTACTGCCACACCCCATTACCAAAGATTAATTTTTTAAACACAATTTAAAAACACTGGCTTTTAAAAATGCACATCTCTAATTTCCTTAAATGGTAATACAATATACAAATAAAAGATACTATGGTAAACAAAATGTTTATCTCACAGCTTTAAATCGAGAAAGTCTATAGTTTAATATTTTGCATTTGTTTATAGGAACATCTATTAAATATATATCATATGTCATAAGAAGCTAATTTATAAAGATATTCTCAATGAATAACATTACCAATAAATTTTAGTTTCCTGGAATTTCATTTTTAGTTGTTATTTGTACCCATGTAACACTTAGTTTGAATGTCTCTGCATCACTTAGTACACAAAAATAGTCCTCAAATAATACTTTCAGATAAAGACTGACAGCAATATTTCCTCAATATTCTCATGTTGCAAAACCCTAGGAAATATTGGACAAGATGCTTTACTGAGTTGGAAGTTTAGTGATGTGTAGAGTTAACTGGATTTTAATATTTTTGATTTTTAAAATAAGGCTGTTCTATTAACCTGTAGGCTAATATAAACAATTTAACCTTGTGCTTAATTAAATGCATATTATTCATTGATAGGCAAGTACCTAACTTAATAATTATGACATCTTTGTTTCTTTCTCAAGTATAATTAATTTTTAAGGCTAAAATTCAATTCTATTAGCTCTGAATTCAATAATTATTCATAAATATGGAACTCATGGTGTGAGAGATTAAAGATGGCTATAATCTGTTACTGCTGATGGAGTTTAATCTTATTTGCTTGGGTCTGAGCTGGTCCTAATGATTCGCTTGACCACTAAGTATAATGTAAATAACCCTGAATGTCTTTCAGGGATAGAATGTCTTTCAGGGATAGACTCTTATAATGGTTCTTCCAAAAGTCATGGTGAGAACAGCTTCTGCTGTTCTGACAGTGACATATGAAATGCCAAAGGACACTCAGCATCAACTGCCAGTCACAAGGGCGTGGGATCTTTCCTAGCCCAAGAAGAGCTATCAGGCAACCAAAGCTCCAGACAATATTTCATCCTAAAAGTCAGAATCGAATCATACCCAAATTCTTGAATAACAAAGTTGTAGAAAAAAGCAGAAAGGTATATTAATAAGTTCTCTGGGAATTTGTTATAGAGATCATGAGAACATACAACCAAACTCCAAATTACTATAATTTGAGTTATGACTCCTACTTGTATAAAGTGGAGGTAGCTAAATTTTAAGTAATAAATTTTATGATTCATGTCTTTTGTGATTTAATTTGTGCTGAATTTACAGAGTAACCTTCCAGTAGGACATTTTAAGCATA